TACTGTACAAATGTTGATAGGTCTTTTGTTGGCTGACACTTTTGATAGGTACTGACCACTGCAGACCGGGAACACCCCACAAGAGCTGCAGTGTTGGAGATGTTCTGACCCAGTCGTCTAGCCATCACAATGTGGCCCTTATCAAAGTTGCTCAGATCCTCATGGTACTTGTGGTACAGTGAGAAGACATGAGATTTCTCAGCACTGATTCGTTGTTTTTGTTCTGACAATTAGGAGCACTAGGAGGAGCCAGAGGAACCTGCTCTGTTCCTTTGGTTGGTTAGGTTTAGACGTGTGGAGTAAGACTGGTTAGCCATCAGAGCTAACTAGCTATCTAACAATAAATAGATTCATTAGTTCTGACCGAGGCTTGCTCAACTGTTAATGGCAAACAGAATGAAAAGGGGCGGGACTTAGGAAGGGTCCACTCTGCAGTACATACAGTATTGATCTGCAAATACACTGAACCCCTGCCTCTCCAGACCACACAGTTCTATCAGTTCACTTTCACTGTCAGTGCACTTCCTGCTGGTTGGCCTTTCAAGTTTCAGTGACTTGATGAAAGATAGAGCAAGTCATCCACTAATCAGAAGGTTTCCGGCTCCTCCCGCTGCACATCCAAGTGTCGTTGAGGTCAGAGGTAAGATCCTGATCCTGTGGTCGGAACTCTACAACCACCTGACCACAAAATTCTAAACAGTACATCCTTGAGTCCAAGTGGACGCTTGTGCCAAATTTAAAGAAATTCCCTCAAGGAACGCTGTGAGATATTGCGTTCACAAGGATGGGAGGAAAAACACGGCTCTAGCCACAGCTACTGGAGGCTGAACAACTGTAATACAGACAGGCTCATCAAATACTATTAACCCTATTAAAGTGCAGATGGAAACATTTCAGAAAACAGTTTAAGAAAAACATTTTATTGACTGTGCACGGTTCTCACTGCCAGCCATCTTCACTGTACACTTTCCATTCATCTCTCTCAAGTGTGTCTGTAAAATGAATAGCGCATATTGAAATGACACAGGACATGAGACTCATCTACACCAACGTGAGAATCTGGACCCTTAGCGACAAATAAAGAGACAATACAAAAAAGGGGGGGGGGTTCAGTCTACAGTTTCACAGCCACATTCAGCTGCAGTCAGGTCCAGTAGTCCCAATTGCCTTTTTCGTGGTCTGCAAGTATTTCTAGGAGAGAAAAGGAATTATAAAATGGCATCATTTGCATATTGGACATGGCCATATTGTGATTTCCATTATATTTGGATTCATTGTGCAGCCCTATTTCTACAATCGGAACCTGTAACAGACTCTAAGAGCCTGGTATTAGAGGAGAAAACTATCTTTACAGTATATCTTCCATAATAACTGTGTGTGTTGCCTACCTGTAGGTTATCGTAGTGTTTGAGGGTTTTGCAGTGGTTGATCTCTGCCTCTTTGGTTCCGCTGAAGAACCTATTACACACCTTACAGAAGAAGCCCGTCTTTGGGACCAAGAACTCCATACCTGTGGACACAGACACAAAAGTGAATTCAAACCGCCATAGTGAGCAGCAGTGATCAGGTGAATGACTACAGACAGGTGTCTTACCAACTGGGTTGCTGGGGTCGAAAGGAGGAAGGGAGGACTCCGTGCTCAAGGGACTTTGTGTCTTTAATTTCTTCTCCACACTCTCCTCCTCAGTGTTTGTTTGTTCTTCAGACCCGTCATGCTTTTCTGTGAGAGACAGAGACCTCTTTAAAATCTGGAGAAAGTACTGATCCTGAATCCTACCTACCACAAGGATAAGGGCCAGCATCCCAAACACCTTCAACATGAGGTAAAGAAGGACATTATGGGTAACAGCATGATGCGTCGCCAAAAATACCACCATACTGAGAACATGTTCTGCTCTTAAGCCTGTTTTTTAATTCAAACTAAATCTAATAAATCATACCTGTCTCCACAGCAGGAGCTCCCGTCTCTTTGTCTTCTTCATCCTTCATTCGCCTGTGTTCCTCCATTTTGTCCAACCCCACCACCTGACTGTGACTGAGAGCACTGTCATCCTTTTCGCCTTCCTCACTCTGTGTGGTTACTACTCCAATGGCTGGGCTGTTGGAGGAGGTGTCGGCTGGCGTGGCTGGAGCTGCAGGGGCAGGTCTGGGGCAGGGTTCAACCTCGGCAGTGAAGTCCAGAGTGGCTGTCAGCGTGGTTTCTAAACAATGACAAATTAATAACACATGAAGTTACTAAGATTAAAGACAAAATATCAAAGAAAGATGAATCCTTCAGTTCATAATCGAGGTTAAACCAGTGGCAGGCTGTACCTGTCTCAGATGCTTCTGGTTGATGTGTTTGTTTGGGGGAGGAGTCAGACAGTGAAGCCAGTAAGGGGGATGCTGTGGCGGTGAGGATGGGACCAGGCGTCTGATCCAATGACCCCAAACAGTCTGAAGTGTCAGCTGTTGGCTCAGCTGTAGACTCTGATACCTGCTCGTCAGACTTCTCTGTGGTATCTGAAATTCCTGTTTCTGTGGTTACCTCCATGGGTGTGTCCTGTAATCAGAAACAAGAAGAGGAGCGTGATGGAAGTTAACGCCTCAGTCACCTCAGTAACAGTGTAGAGAAACTTTTTTACCAAGTCAAAATGCACCTCTGCAGCCTTTTCCATAGATGTGAGAGCTTCTTCCTTTCTCTCTGCGGTTTCCATGGGAACAGTGGGAGAAGGAGAGCTAGGAAGGTCAGTCACATCTCCAACTTCATCTAACGTCACAAAGTCACTCATGTTGAATGGGAACTCGTCATGTTCCTCCCCTTCTTCCACCTGATCGCAAGACAGGACGGAAATATGAAGTGAGGAAAAAAAAAAGAGAGGAGAGATGGAACTCCACTTAACACTTTCTGATAGGGTTGGCTCAGTTTCTGGTGTAAAAGCTTAAACCGGATTGATTTTGGCCACATTGGCATATGTCATTACGAGAAGGGAAATCAACCCTTTAGCGGGCATTGCTACAATACTCTCCGCCCTGTCTGCATGTATCATTAGAATCACAGCTGAGCAGACGAGGTGTGGAGTGGAGCTGCACAATGAATCCAATATTAATCGCCATCACAATTTTGGCTTCCAACAATGAAATGAACGTGATTGTCTACAATATGCCGTTTAAAATCTGTGCTCGGCTAATAGAAACTCTTCTAACAGCCAGCCAACACGGGTGATCGAGACGTCCTGGTTTCACTTTTGAGAAGCTGCCCTGTTGCTGCAAACACAAGTTGACTTTTATTATGAAGTAAGCTACTCCTAGTTAGTTAGTTTCAGTTAGTCAGTTAGCTTGACAGTGTCTACTATCGTTCAACAAAAGACACTTTTTTGGAATGTTTTCCCAGCAGATTAGTCTGAAATAAGTTAGGGAGAGATGGGACAAGAAGGAGCAGCCACAGTAAGCTGCAAATGACAAGCTGGACATCTCCAACCTCTCAGCTAGGTAACTAAAGTTACTTTCACTGTCACTGTTCACAGGCTCGTGCTGTGTGCAGAATAAAATCAGATCACAGTTGCTCATCAGTGATGAAAAAAGGCAGATTATTGCCTGCATTCTTCATCATTTTGACCATAAGCCCTAGTGCAGAGCCAGCCAGCTTCTACAAGGTAAGCTGCTAACTAGTTTGTGAAATAGGTTTGTGTCTGCATATTTATGTATTTCCTGTAAAAAAAGACTTCTAGGGAGCCAATAGTACTGAATGTGTGTTAAGTCTCGTGATATTAATGGTTGAAATTGGTTCGTTCATGCTTATGTAGACACACGCCATGTTTTACAAGAAGCAAAAATGATTGGATTTTGATATAAAAATACTGATTATATAATAATAATAATAATAATAATAATAATAATAATAGTAACTGACTTCTTTTGACTAATTTACTGTGGATGGGTGCTTAAAAGGGTTAGAAAGGCAGTTTTTATTTCAACTGGACTTTAATAAGCAAGGAGCAATCATTTTCACTTTTTAATGCAACTTTAATATAACCCTGAAATAGGATTGCTATGTTAGCCAGGTAGCTAGCCAGCTACAGTTGGTCAGTACACTCAGTAGCAAACTGTAAGGTAAGTACAAAGCCTTGATTTGGTGCCCTCCTGTTCGTCCCTGTTAAAGTTACTGCAATAAGCCGTTAATAGAAACTTAACACTTGCTGTATGTTTCAAATTAAAAGCCCTCTGGCATTTCAGTGGAAAGGCTTTTATTGGGAAACATTTATAGGAAGGCGTTGTGAAAATCTTGCAGCTCTTGTTCCACTCAGGACACCTAGTGATAAAATGCAGTATGACCGACCAGTCCAGTATTTGGCTTTATATTACCTTTATACTGCCCAACCCTACTTTTTGCCCCACAGTCCTCTCACCATTCTGGTCTCAGCTTCTGAGTCGTACTGTTCGTCCCTCGAGGAGCTCGGCTTGTATCCCTCCGACCTGGAAGATGACCTCGAACACGACAAACCTCCACCGTATGCTCTCTTCCTCTCCCTCCTCTCCTTTTCCCTCTTCTCCCACTCCCTCCTTTCCTCCTCCCTCTTCTCCCTCTCCCTCCGGGCTCTTTCGTGCCACTCCCTCTCCTTCCTGGCCCTCTCCTCCTTCTCCCAGGCCCTCCTCTCCCTCTCTCTCTCCCTCATCTCCTCTTTTCTTGCCTCTCTCTCCTTTCGCTCCCTCTCCTTCCGCTCTCTCTCTTGCTTCCTCGCGTCCTCCCCTGTGTGGTTCTTGGCCGGCTCTTTTTTTGTCTCCTCTGCCACTTTTTCACCCTGTACTGTCTCCATTTGTGTCTCCCCCTGTTCTCTGTTAACGGACGCTGCCGCGCTGTTGGGATGGCCGGCAGTTCTTGTTCGGCACTCCACAAGCAGGGCGTTGACCATTTCTTGAGTAACCTGGCGAAACGGGGATCAGAAAGAGTCGAAACAGGTATCAAAAACAAATATCAAATATCAAAATTCTGGAGGTTCCTAAGCTACACAGGAGAACAGTCTGGCTCCAACAACAGAAGCAGACTCACATTTTCGAGATATTTTACCTTGGGCAGCTCTGGCATGGCTGTCTCCTGGGAAGCTGCGTTGCCATCAGAGGTAGACGGCTTTGTCTCTTCACCAGCAGGAATCTCGTTATTTTCTGCTTTGGACACATTCTCACCTTTCGTTTTGTCTACTGTCTCTGTGACATTCTCAACAGCTGATGTGTGGGTCTCTAGGTCTGCTTCTTGTGTGGTGTCTCTAGCTGCCGAAGACTCAGAGACAGAATCAGCAAGCCCATCTTTTTTGATCTCATTTCTTCCGTTTTCTCCCAAAGCTTCGTCTTCACCGGCCGTCTCCTCTGTGCTCTTCGCTTCCTCTGTGCTCTTTGCTTCCTCGTCATTCATTTCAAGATTTTTTTCCATTCCATCCAATGGGGATTCAGATTCTTCTTTACACGCCGTCTCCTCTTCATCTGCAGCCGCTGCCGCTTGCTTGCCTTTGCCATTTGCAGGGGTATCCTACGACCAGAGACAAGGAGGTATTGGTCAGAGTCACATCGAGCACCAGCAGTAAAAGCTGCACGGGTGTATGCCAGTAATAGATTAAAATAGATTTAAATGGATGTCCCATCATAACTCAACTCATTGCTAATCAATTATCAAAGTTACCAACCTCAGATACATCAAGGTATGCAGTGATGACTTTAGTCTGTGTGTTGGCTTTGGGGTCAGGCTTGCGGGAGAAGAACAGAGGGTTGCTCTGGATGATGCATGGGAACGTCTGGAAGCGTTTGTATACAGACAGTGCCATTGCAGCAGTTGCCATCTCACAAATGACCTGGGCGGTAAGAGACATAGCAAATAATGAGTTCATTGCCTGATAAATAAAAGAGGCGAGACATGACAGATTTGGAGAGAATAGAATTATAGGTTCAGGACGTAACGGATCAGCATGTTTGCAGCTGCCCTCACCATGCTGTTGAGCACTAGGGTCTTGATGACAGTACCAAAGCGCCGTACCAGTTTCTGGACCTCAGAGGACCCAGACGGCGTGTTGGGTACGTTACTGATCACCAACAGGCTGCTCCAGCCCACTGGAATAGGACTCTCCTGCAGCAAACAAAAGAAACAGCCACTTAGCCACTTACTAGGCGATTTTTAAAAAGGTACTGCAAAGATCACTACGCCTTACAGGACTGTCTTTGCTTATCAAAATCCAAAGAGTGCTACCCTAAGGTTCTCTTAAGCTGCTTTGGACAAGCAGGAAGAAAAACTGAGCCCACTGCATCACAGCTGTTTAATTGGAGCAGGATGTAGGATGTTCTATCATGCAGTCACTGTGCGGTAGCTTAAAGGGATAGTTCAGGTGGGGCTGTGTGAGGTACTTACCCAGCTCTACTGAATATGGGTATCACCACCGATTTCCCAATTTGATTTGATTTAACCTTGATTTGGTTCAGGATGTTTCATTTACAGTACCAATTTTTCTTGCATATGAAAGATATTCTCAGAGAACTAATAATGTAAATTGTACAAGGATGCCTTTAACCTGGTGCATTATTACAAATATTAATGTTTACATTAAGACTCACACTTTCACAATTGTCTGAAGATTTTTCATGATTTTTTTATGAAAATAAATGGGTTTTATAAACTGTTATATATATGTAACATTCTGACTATGTATGCTATTATGGCATTGGTGCAGCCTTGTTTATCCACTGTGTCCATGGAAACGACAATGAACTCAGCCATAAAGGTTTCTTTTACCAAAAGAAGCTTGTCTGAAGTACTCTTCCAGTCTTCTTTTTGAATGCATCTTAAGAAATTCAGATTTTTACATAGAAAACACAATAGGGGCAATAGTCTGGAAACAAATATTTTTCCATACTTACATACAATTCCATACTTTTCCATGCTGCATAGGAACTATACAGTTAGTGCCAAAGACTAAGGCTGTCTGACAGTCGGTGGACTACAGATGGAAAACTTTTAGCTAACTCTGGTGCATTTACAGCAGAGTTTATTATAAACCAGTAAATAAAATAAACTGCACAGAGACCTATACTGGTAGAAATACTCACTAATGGGTCTGCTGATCCCATCAGAAGATTGTAGAGACCCACCTGTGTGAAGAGTTTTAAGTATCAGTTATTGCTCAAGTGTCACTAATAAACACAAAAAGGGAAACAAACTAAAAATATCTATACACACAGTGAGTGCAATGTCAAAATAACATTAGATAGACTGCAGAGGAAAGGTGAGTAATGATGAGAGCCCTACCGGTGTGCTGAGACCTATGCACTGTTTGAGATGGGTCATCTTCAGCTCAGTGTCATTAATCTTCATAGGCATAAAGGCGTGGACTTTTACTATCTCCTGAGCAATCTCCATGTCTGACACAGACACAAGAACCTAACATACAAAAAAGATTTTTTTTTAATATTGAGTTGTGGGCACATCAACCATCCAAACAGTCATCTTCAGACATTAGCCTGCTTTAAAAGAGGTCAGGGCTAGAAAAATTAAAAGCAATAAACTGGCAAACTGTGGAAATAACAACTCAACAATCCACACAGGAAACATTCTGAATATAGAGGTTCATTTTGGAGAGGGCTGCAACGGTATACTAAACTCACGGTTTGGTATGTACGTCGGTTTTGGAGTCAGGGTTCAGTACGTTTTTGGTACAGCAGGGAAAACAATCATTTTTACTGTAAGGCACTCAAACAATGGCATATTGTCAATAAGAAAAAACAAACACAAATGTCAGTAATACTCAGTGATACTCTGACCAGAACACTTTCAAGTATAAAATGAAATAAAATAAAATAATTAAGACTAGCGCAGCATAATAATAATAATCTGCCATTAATTATTCGGCTTTTAACATTCAGTTCTTGTCATCCAACAAAGTCAGCCAAGAACATTTTCAAGTTTTCAGTAGAATTTGTTTGTGACTGCAGCTAGCGGGGCTCAAGCACTTTGAATATATTCAGAAATCCTGTATTGTCTACAGCCGAGTATAGTCGCAGATCTGCAGCAGTAAACACTAGAGCAATAGCTTATGCTTTGGCACTGTCTGAATCTACAGTGAGAGGCTACCTTGACGCTGTGGGGAGACTGTCTTTGTCGCATTCTGACAATCGTCACATTCACGTGATGCTGTCATTAATGCAGTTTGAAGTGTTTCCACAGACAAACCTGACTTCAGATGACGGATGTCAGAATGCAGTATTTGGTCAACTGATGTTTGTCTGTTTTCTCTGTTGATTACCGGGAAACTGTAACGCTCCGAAACAGTGGATCTCAATGTCATAGAAACTTGGGTCTCTTATTTGTGTTTACCATTTTGATGGCAGCTAACTGGGCTAACTGGGTAAAGGTGACTAGCATGCTCTGGCTGACAGACAACAGCTGGTGAACTGCCAAAACTTTCCGGGGAAACTTGTGCTCTGGAAATTCTGTCCTGCATGTGCGAGTACACAGACATAAATATCTATTTTGTCAGTAACAGTTTGGGTCCCAGGGCGTACTGACCCGAGATTAATAAAGTTACCGTTACACCCCTCCTATTTATTGACATACAGTACACAGACCAGAATCTCTTTAGTATTGTGATATATATGATAGCTATTCATGACCATTTATTGTGACTATCCAATTGAACAGCTGGATTTTTCTATCTTACGAAAAGACCACAGTTCTCCAAACTTGCACTTTATCATTGGTGTCCAGTTTTGTCCAAGTGTTTTCTCCTCTCCTAGAAACAGTAAAGCTTCAGATAAAACTCTGCTGATACCAACCTTTCCGATTTGCGTTGCCAGGATGATGTCGGAGGGAGTTCCAAAGGGCTGTACCAGTTTAAGGATGTCACTCTCCGACCAGCCGCTCTCAGGAAGTCCTGTGATCAACACCATGCCCTTCTGTAGGAGACATTGGGTGGGGTGTAAGGAAAATGCTTCACTGCTGACAATGTATTAGTAGTGATAAAGATCCATTTTAAAACTTACATATAGCTTGATTTGAAATTGAATACAACAGAGCAGAATAAGTCCAATTAATGATTGAACAGCCTTTTCACAACAAGGTCATTTACAGGGTTTGTACAGCGTCTTTAGAGTCAAATTCAAGCACTTTCAAGATACCTAAAGCAAAAATTACAGACTCATATCATCACCACTTCTACATTTATTTTTATTATAAATGCATCTGTGAAAAATATCCATAATACCCATAACTAATTACATTTACATGCATACTAATTTTCCTCCTAAAGGCTCATGTGAACAGCATATTCTGTTTGGATATTCCTAATTAGGCCTTATTCTGAATGGTGAATTTATTGTTTATGTATACATGTATACAGTGCATTCAGAATATGCGTCTCATTTAGAGTTTTACCACAGTTTGGCTGTACAATGTAAACAAACCCGCCTCAAGCTTGAAAAAAATCCTCTTTGACACACTGAGGCAAAATGAACAACACGATGAAGGATAATTCCTCTGTAGGACGTACAGTACGTCATTAACAGTTGGGTTAATCAGAGTGCGCATAGCTGCCTGTAAACAGGAACATTAGTGGCATAATCCTTTTTATAAGCCTTGCAAACAGCTTATGGGAATATTGTCTTTTTCAGAATTTTCATACTAGCTTTGATTGTATATTTGGATCGTGATGAATTAATGCTGCTAATTTCCACAGTAAAGAAACCACAGAGGACATAGGATGTAGCTATGAATGATGAATGACAAAGAAATGTGACGACAGGATTGTTTCATTTCAAATGTTAAAAGATTTCTGGTTTACATTAGTGACTGTGGAGAGGACTATATTTGAATTCAAGCATACTGCTAACCTTGAAAATGTAATGGTTCAAATTAAGCTTTCAAAACTTTGTACGAACCCCAAATTTATATTTTACAAGTAGTAATATGTGTTATGTACCTCATCAGACAACTTCTGGTCAGCCTCACCTCCTGCGGCAGGGAGTTGGAGGTGGGGGAGAGCAAACAGAGCTACAGTTAGTGTATTTTCAAAGTCACAATATCACAGACCTGTCTACACATGTCTCAACTACAGTTATTATAAGTTGATATACTGAGCATTTGACAAAGAAATGTTTTGATTAGGGATGCACGTTTTTTGCAGCCAATACGATAACCAATAATAACCGGCTTTTCGTTTTATTTTACATTTTTGTATTTTTAAAAGAAGTTCATGACCTGTAGTCTTTGCACAACTGATGGTTCATAAAGGCTGAGATATAGTGAGCAAAGATGGATACTTTAATATTCCAGAGCTCTATTCTAACTCTCTAACCAAATCTAACTGACATCACTATTACTACTACTACTACTATATACTAACAACAAACAACAGTTCAGACTCTTCGAATTCGTCTTCATTTTGTCTCATAAAGTTCTTAACATACATCCTTTGACTTTCATAAAATAATTTTGCATTAGAATGCAAAATAAATGATTATTATTATTGTGGAATGTATCAGTTCTAATTTAATTATACCCATAATTCATAATAATATAAATGTCCCATTACTGCACGATAATTGACGTGTCCCGATAATTATCGTGCATCCCTAGTTTGGATACCGCCTAGTGAGATTTTTCGATTTTCCTACCAGAGTCTTTCCCAGCAGCACCTTTGTCCTGTCCTGCAGCAGGTTTGCTGTGAAGACAGACTTATTAATAGCTGAGTGCAGTATGAGCAGGTTTGAAATTGGCAGGGTGAGTGTGCAGCATATTGGGTTAAGGCATAAGATGATGAGAACTGTGACAAACCTGTTGTTGGCGTCAGAAGATAGTCTTGCTTCAAGTTTCTAAAACAAACAAATAAAAAAAATATACATGTACTTAAACTGTACAAAAATCCAAAAATTTAAAACAAGTGTATCATTTTGTGTTTCAAACCATTTCTCAATTAAGATTAGCAGATTCTTACATCTACTATCAACTTAAAACACTATGGGAAATGCCACATGCACATGTTCCACACAGTACCTTGGCTACTGAAGCAGTCAACTGCTGGTCTCTGATGGAGAGATTGGTGGATTTAGCCAGAGCCTGGGCGTCTTCAGCCTTCACCATGCATACAGACGCCTGCAACAGTGGAGGAGGACAGAGTGATGATGTGGGACAGACAGAAACATTACATTTTATAGCTTTGCACAACCACTACTGTTTCATGGGACTCAGGAGAAACCAACTGCTACAATATTTGCAGGTCTTTCTTGTAAGCCGCATTTACACTGAAAATGTAGATTTGGCTAATTTTGCTACAACAGAACCGAAAAAAAAACTTTTAAAAGAAATAGCCAGGTTAAAATATTTATTTTTGCCTGTAATATTCACTATATGAGCAAACAGAAACAGTGAATTAAAAAAGTATACGCTTCTAATAATTAATGAATGAACAAGTCTGGTGTTTATGCCTGTTTATGGAGGTTGTGTGGGGTGTTGGATCCCTTCATACTTGTCTGCAGATTTAGGTTTTTTCTTAAAAAATAACAACTGTTCTGCCTAATAAAATCTCAAAAGTTAAATTTGTTGCAGACTGCATGAATAATCATTAAGTTAAACATAAACAACACCTTTTGCCCTTCGCCATTCTCGCTCTCTTCCTCGGAGCACGGCATGAGGATCACATTGTTGATCTTGCCAAAGGACCCGACCAAGTCAGTGACTTCTTGCTCCGACGCATCCTTCGGGATGCCAGTCAAGTAAACCAGGCGATCTGCCACAGAGGAGTCCTGGGAGGCTGGAGTCACTATCTTCTTCTTCTTCTTGGCTGGTGGAGGCTTGGTAGACTACAAACCAACAGCATAAGTTTTAGGAGAAATCCACTCAGACAATGAGAAGCAAACTAATGAAAGATTTCCCTATTTTGATCAAACTGTGAGTCTTTATTTACAGTGACAATGTGTGACTAAAGAAAAGGTGGAGCTCTCTGCTCTCTGGAAAAATGACTGGTTAAAGCTGACACTGTACCTAAAAAGACATTAAGTTATTAAGAAAATGGATACTAACACCAGTAGACGTTCCTGGCAATTCGATTTTGGGACCACAATAAGCAAAGATGAATTTTATTAAATGCAAAAAAGATATGTTGCTCAATTATGTCTCATGAAATAGAATTTATGGTCATCCATAAACTGCATGTGACCTGGGGTTTTAGATCCAAGTATGATCCTGACTGCTCTATAATCTGTACAAATTCTAATATTGGCAAAGCTACATATTTCCATGTATTTCTGGGAATGCCCTAGTATCGTGGAAATTTTGTTGTTAATTCATCAATCTTCATAGCAGAAGTGTTATTCAGGACACTTTTCAAAATAGAGCAGGTCTAGACGAACTCCTTATAACATTATTTACAGGACTCCAACTATCAACCACCATGAGCAAGACCTTGGTGACGGGGGCAAGGAAAAACTGCCTTTTAACAGGCAGAAACCTGGACGGACTTTTTGGCTCTAGATGGGTGAATTAATGTTGGTTTGAATGGTTTACTTGGATAAAAGCCAACATTAAACCCTGGAATCTGTATTTTAGGTTTGCATGATCCAGCAACGCATGCTGTTAAGTATAAATATCTATTGAGAATGTGTTGGTATGCTGCTAGGTTATGTACTCTTCAAAGAAGAATTGGAGATATACCTCCATTATTTCAGTTTTGTTTGAAAAACTCCTGAATTTAATTCTGCTCGAGTGGTTATCATATATAACTGAAAATAGGACCACTTTCTGCATACCTGGCAGCCAGTCTTAAGTAATAAAAAAGATCAATTAAAAATTTGGCTTGAGATGTACATGAATGTATCAATACTGAATTGAGACTACGTATGTATGTATGTATGTATGTATGCATATTTAAGATATATATATATATATTGTGGATCTGTGACTGCTTCTGGTAATGAGATGTTTTACAGTGTTGCTTCCCGTGAGTGTGTATGTGTATGTAACGTATGTTGGCTCATGTGAATATTATGAACATCTGATGTAGTGGCGGCTGTGGCGCAGAGGCAGAGCGGGTTGAGCTGCTACTAATAATAATAAAAATATTGAACAAGACTAAAGAAAAAAACCCAACCCAACTTTGTAAAACTGGCCCTACCTAAGTCCCGCTCCTTTTTGCTCTGTGCTCCAGTAACAGATGGGCAAGCCTTGGTCAGATTTCTCCTTTGATGTACTTAGATAGATTAGGAAAACTCTAGCTAATGATTGATGTAGGTTAGCTACCTAACTAGCTAGTTAGCTGGCTAATCTACATCAAAAGTTAGTTAACATTTTCCTAATCTATTTTTGTAAAGGACAGGAGAAAGTGGATTGTTGCTAGCTAACTAGCTAGCTAAGTTGCATTAATCGTCAGTAGCTAACTAACCATCTTCAAAATGTAGCCTAGCACATAGCATATCTAAGCAGAGGAAAAAAGAAAGTTGACTGAGGTTGTGACTAAGGCTTGCTCAACTGTTATTAGAGAACAGAGCACAAAGGGGCGGGGCTTATGAAGTGTCCACTGGAAGAGCCATCTCATGACAAGTGACAAGTCGTCTCACAACGAGAGTTCTGAATTCTGACACTCCAAAACATCTGTTTGATCCACCCTTCATTCTAATCTACAAAATCAGCTGTGGCTGAGTTCGGTCCAAAACAGTTGTGTTCTCTGTCAAGCTTTAATCAACTAAAGAGAAAAACACGCACTGTTGCACTTGCCGTCTTAGTCGTCTTGGCTCCAGGCTTCGTCACACCTTTGACACTTTTGGTGATGGGCTGCTTGGCGCTGTGACCCACCTTTGAGGAGGATGGATGACGGGTGGGATCCGAGGAGAACCTGGTTGGATCATCATGTGGACGCTTCAGCCCACTGTGAGAGGGACCCCCTGCAGTAGACGCACCATGAATCAGGGAGGAGGACAGGAGAGCAAAAAGAAATGGTGTAAAGAAATATTCACAAATAGAATCATTCAAATTGGTGGAGAAAAAGTAGAGAACCAATGAAATCCCTGCATTTGAAGGTAAAGCCAGCAGTAATAAACAGTAAACAGTAGGCAAACCTGTTAGGAGAGCTATGCACACACTACTTACTGGAGCTGGAGTTCCATCCAGTAACTACTACTGCGCAAATAGTTCATGTCATGTTATTAACATCATTGACATTCCCTTACTACAGTCTACATTACCACACTACATACCTGTGTAGTGTTGCTGGTGAGGGTGAGGGTGATGGTGAGGTGAGTAAGGCCTCCCGCTTCGCCTGTGGAGATGGGGGCCCACCAGGCGTCTGCTATGTGGAGGACTCGGGGTAAGAGAGCGAGAGAGGGATCGGGATGTGGAATGGGATAGAGAGTGATCTTTGGGATCCCACAGAGCCCGGCTTCCATATCTTCCACTGCGACTGGATCATAGACAAAATTTATGACTGGTCATAACCAGTGAAATTATAGCAGAAAGAACACAACTGCACTGAGTTTCACTTTTTCACTGTGGAGTTTAATTTAAACATCTCTGAAACAATAACTATTCTCACATGGATAACCAACAGAAATGCTCAGTAAGATCCGTGTCAGACTGGCTGTATGTACACAAGTTATTTGAAATGTGTAGGACCCGCCAACTGACAGGAGTGACTCCCACTGGCTGCTGGTCACAGCTAAAAACAGATCATTGGAAACATAAGAACAAGAGTCCAACTGACCTCGGTAGATTTGGTTTCCACTCAGGGTACCTTCAGAGACACACACAAATACCTGTTAGCATGTGATTCAACATATTCTTCCTCTTTGATTTAAAGGTCCTATTTATAGTAAAAAAGTACATTTTAAAAAGCACAGTGAAAAAACAAAAAAACAAAAAGATTTAAGATATTTATGAGCTTTTCAGATCGGCAGGGTCAGCAGGAAGAGCATGAGGGTCTGTGATAAATTCAGTTGTGTCTTGACCTTAGTTTTTTTTTATACCTCTTTTACATACTAGCGAGACTAAAAATGCAACTTTATACAAACAACGTTAACTTCCTTAATCCAATCCATTTCAAAGACCTGTCAAAATCAGATTATTGGATTTTAGACCCTGACGGTTACAAGAGGAAAGGCTTTACCAGGATTAGAGCACACAATTATCCTGTAATATTTTCTCATTCTCATTTAAATTCTATTATCAAGAATAATTTGCACTGCCCCCATGCACATAAGCTTAATACCATAACCATAAGCACTTCAAGCACTTTGTTTTTATTGGTATCAAAAATGTCTTTATGCTACTTTATTTCTTTTGGTCTAATATTTGACGTGTTTTGAGTGGAAAAAAATGCAAAATGCATATCTACTGGAGATGCAATGCTCCAGTAGCACATTATTACTACATGTCCTCACTTGTTGCGCAGGTCTCTGCAGGCAGCAGTGTGGTTGACGGTGTTAATATGCTCAACCCAGTCCTGGGAAAAAAAAGACAAATGGGAAAGCAAGATGTCACAATCAGAAAGAATCCTCAACAAAGATATATTCACATTTCACATGTATAAAGATAAGCAAATTCTAAGAATTCAGATACCTAATTAATCCACAGTGAACGACTTATGTACTGAGACAAAAGCTCGAATAAATCTTTGTTCCCTGGACTGGTGTCATTTTTTAAACTTGATGTGAAAACCCTGAACTGAATGTTGAGGCCCAGATCTTCAGATCTCACAGCTGCTAGCAGAAACACAATAAAATGCTTAGTCTTGTTCTTAAATATCAGTTTTTCGTGGCGGTAGAAATGTTGTGTGTCCATTCTATTTTCAGTTATTTTCACCGTTAACACCACATCACAATTAAAACATGTATTGTTTTTACTCTTCCTGTTGCAAATGCTGTACAATGTATTTACTAAGTTATGTTCTGAGTCCTGAGGAGGACACATCATTTCTTACACCATTATTTACCATTATCATCCACCAATCTGCTGCATTTGCTATATGGAATTCCTGTCACAGCCTGTGACATACTGTATGACAGTTTAGTTCAAAATAAAAGAAGACAAATCCCTCTGTTCAACAAGCTTCCAATGATTGGGATAAACCAAAACGTTTAGAGTTGGAAACCTAAAAACCTTAGCCTTTTTAGACAAAGACCACTTTACATTCAGCTGTATCATCACATGCACTTCCCTGATGACTAAAGGGACTATTTATTCATCAGGCTAGAACCTTTATTTTTGTAGATTTGGGGAAACCTTTATATAAAATAGACAAATATGATTCCTTCATGAGAAAATGTAGGATGAAAGAAATGACTGGATATACCAGATCTTCAAAAGTCCACACTTGGCACAATTAAAAATTTAAGACAATCACACTCAACTGTAAGTAATTAATGAAGCCGAGCACAAACCATCTAAGTTAATTCTATGTATAGTCAGTCAATCACAACACCATTTAACAACATGAGAAAACTCCTGCACAGCTAGAGCATTGTTTCTGTTGTTTCTGTTGTTAGGGCTGTAACGGTTCTGAAACCGAGACCGAAATCGCGACACAGGTCGACACACTCTCTCCCTGGACTGCGGCGGTAGCGGTGTAGGCCTATATCGT